GACTCTGATACCATGTTAAATGACCATCTTAACCAAAATCTTTAATGAAATGTATGGGGATAGTTACACTTTTGGTCCCTATACTATACACCAAAATTAATTTTAGTCCCTATATTTTTCTTGCCACGATTTTAGTCCTCAAACAAACCATTTTTTGACACTTTCATCCTGTTGTTTATTATTGGAGTTAGTTTGGACGGAAAAAACACGTGTGGAGCACGTGACAGTGCACTTCAAGCCTCTTTTTACGTATATTATTTATTTAGCCCCAATATCACATTAATTCTTACAATTTAGTCCAAAGAAAATAAAATAGGAGTAAATTTACTAAAAAGTTTAAATTTATCTGAATATTTACAGATCAAATTGATAAATAAATAAATTAAATAAAAGAAAGAAGAGTGGCATTGGGAAGAAGGGCAGGTGAAGAAAAAACATAAAATTCAAATTAATTTACAATATTCAATTTTTGGACGAAATTGTAACAATAAAGTGAAACTTGGGCTAATTTAAAAATGGATTTAATAAAGGGGGCTAAAGGTGTTATTTCTGCGTTCTCACGTGTGAAACACGTGATATTTCTCTTAAAATTAACACCAAAATCAAACATACTAAAATTGCAAAAAAAAAAAAGGTTGTTTGAGGACTAAAATCGTGGCAAGAAAAATATGGGGACTAAAATCATTTTTAGTGTATAATATAGGGACCAAAAGTATAATTATCCCAAATGCATCAGTTAATAGGTACATAAACTCACCGTGTGGTATAATCTTGGAGCGTTAACAGCAGTAAGTGTATCCATTTTCAGGTTTAAGTTATTTATTAAGACCTGAGTGACAGCGTCAGGTATTAGCAATCCTCCAGCTGCACCTATGACTGCTTTTAGTCGTCCGCCCTAAAAGCAACATTTCAGTAGATAAAACAATGAGACAAAAAAAAAAATACAGTTAAACCTCTATAAATTAATACAGTCGAGACTATGGAAATTCTATTATTTAGCAAAATATTAAATTATCGAGTTAATAATTTAACACTTTTTCACCGAGTCGGGACCGGGAGAAACTATTATTTAATCGATGTTCTACTGTATATGAAGACGAACTTGAACCAATAGTTGTCTATTAATATCAACCAATTAATCGCAAAGCGATCGTCTAGATAAATGTAGCTTAATTTCTAATTTTACTTTATTCTTAAGGCGAATTACTTTACCTTAACAAGAATGGTAGGTGTCATCGACGATAAAGGCCTCTTGAACGGTTGAATAAAATTTGCCGGCGATGGTGGCGGAGAGCTTAATGTGGGGATTGAAAAATCGTACATTTGATTGTTTAAATATATCCCGGTACTGTATGACATCACTCGTGATCCGAAGTAAGAATTCAGACTCATGGTCATGGAAACAGCGTTTCGTTGACTATCCACTGCGCACAAATGAGTCGTGCCATGATCGTAAATCTGACTCCATCTGCATTAGGTTAATTCGCGTAGCTATTAAAATAAATTAAGAATGAGATCATTAAGATATGATAGAAAACAACGCTTACTTGCTACCGTAGCGAACAGGTTCGTATGTTTGGTTGTCGTTTATCCGATCCTTCAACAGTTTCGCGTATTTTGTTGAGATCATGTTTTTTAAGACATTAGTGACATTCACGAATCGAGGATCTCCAAGCTTCATCCTCATTGCGAGTGCGTATTTCAATGCCTCAACGAAACGATGCTTTCCCAAAGAGTTAGAAACACTGGTTGTTTTTTGGTAGTTAGAAAGAATCTTCAGAATCTGTTGTTTCAGACGAAAGCAAACACTAATTATCACAACCTACGATTCGAGAAAGGCATAACCAAAAAAAAAAGAAAAAAAAAAATACTCCCTCCGTTCTGAATTAACCGTCGTTTTTAGCTTTGCACAAGTATTAAGAATTTCAATAAATGTGTCTTGATTTTAGAAAAAATACACTAGAAGGACTAAAATAACCTTGATCATTTAATGATATGATAAGAGAGTTAATAATTAGAGTTGAATTAATAAGGTTAAAACAGGAAAAAGTGCATTTAATGCAGTATTGGAAATCTAAAGTGACGGATAATATGGAACGGAAATATTTTTAAAAAGAGACAATTATTATGGAACAGAGGGAGTATTTACTTACAAGAATTAGCATGGCACCCCCTGAAGTAGGAGGTGGTGCCGTAACAATTTCGTATCCGAATGCATGAGCAACCAAAGGTTTCCTCGTAATAACTTCATATTTCTGGAAGTCTTCCTTTTTTATTATTCCACCTGCGTTTTGAATGTCTTCGGCTAATTTTTGCGCGATCGATCCGTTATAAAAGATTTTCATGCCATTTTTCGATATAGCTGCCAGTGTATCTGCTAATTTTCTGAAGTTAACGGGCTTGCCTTCGGGCAAGAGGCTTCCGTTGGGCGCAAATATGGTTCGGAGCTCCTCATCAGCCATGATAGTTGACTTCATACTATCCATTGTCTTGAAAAGAGACGACGAAATGAGGAAGCCTTTACGCGCGAGATTTTCAGCCGGTTTCACGAGTGATTCCCATGGAATCTTCCCGTATTGTTTGTGGGCCGTGTATAGACCTGCGAGTTGTCCTGGAACTGCTATGGACAGAGGACCAGTTTGATACTCGGAAAATCTCTCGGTAAACATATCCTAGGAAATCGCGGACAACCTTTAGTGAGTAGAAAATAGTATGAAATTGAAACTGAAATTGATACCGAAATATCCTAGGAAATCGCGGACAACCTTTAGAGAGTGCAAAATAGTATGAAACTGAAACTGAAATTGATACTGAAACCTGAAACTGAAATTGAAATTGATACTGAAACTGAAATTGAAATTGATACTGAAACAAAAACTGAAACCTGAAACCAGAAACCTGAAACCTGAAACCTGAAACTGAACTGGAAGAGGAAAAGTGAAGTTATTGACCAACAAATGTACCTTAGAGGCTCGGCCGGGCGCCGTTTCTCTCATGTCGAATACTTTAGCATTGCCTTTAGACGACCTGACGAGCATAAATCCTCCGCCGCCAAGACCACTGTTAGCTGGGTTAACAACTCCCAAGCAAAATGCAGCTGCCACTGCAGCATCGACAGCATGGCCTCCTCGTTTAAGTACGTCTCTTCCAATTTTAGAGCACTCCGTTTCATCAGTTGCTACAACACCATTTTTCCCCACAACTCTCTCCCCTCCGGCAGCATCGGTATTTGACGCCAAAAGCAAAAGCAAGGAGAAGGCAATCGCAAAACTAAGTAGACACGTTTGACAAACTGCAATCGAAGAAATTAAAAATTAAAATAACTCATTTACTTTCCCCGTTGAAACTTTATATACAACTCAACAACCAAGAATTATTTCATATAATTTTACGGATCATTTAATTTCATATCATCGGAATCAGTACATTGTCGACAGTAGCATTCGGTACCTACAAAACAAGACATAGAACAGTAATGCACGTACCGTGGAGAAACATTGTGCGATGGAGAAAAAAGACAAGTATTTTTCTATCAATAACTCTAATAGATTAGAGCATTATTTAATATCGAGAATATATCGATTATCTTCGGTAGTCTTATCTTCTTGATATAATAGTAGCAACACGATGAACCGATTGCTTTCTTCTTTCTCAGTCTATCAGATAGAGGTGACATTAATTTTTTGTATATCTCCATTTAGAAAAGTAATTGCTAACATGCCATTGCTTAGTAATGAACTTCTCAAATGAGGAAAAAAAGAGCAAAGTGTTATGTTCAAAAGTCGAGCCATTCTCATTAGGTTCCGAAAATCATTAATGATTGTGGTCTACGAACAATAAATGGAGTTTGATCGATATAGTAAGCAATTTTCCCATGACAAAATCACCATTTAATTCTAGGGTTAAATACAAAAACACCCATGTACTATGAACTTTGTATCATATATCCATGTACTACACATAAATACAAAAAATCTCTTAATGTTACATTTTTCCATAATTTGACGAAAATACCCCTACTGAAGCCTATAAATATAAGGGTTTGTTTGAGCCATTTTCTACTATATTCTTTAACATTTTCGGGTCAATTTTACTTGGGAAATTTTGGTATTTTTATTTTTTTTCTACAAAAATCTTATTGCTTAGATTTTTTTTATATTCTGAATAAAACCTTTTATTTTTGTCATTTTGAATTTCTTCATTTTTTTCTTAAATGTCTTTCGATAGTTCAAATTCTCAACAATCATAGGATCGTAAAGATGTTTGTAATTTTAGGATGTTTGTAATATACTCTAGCAGGGGTATTTTCGTCACATTTTGGAAAAAATGTAACAATAGAGGGATTTTTATATTTATGTGTAGTACAAGGGGTATATGATACAAAGTTCATAGTACAGGGGTGTATTTGTATATAACCCTAAATTCTATGATTCATCAAATGATCTTTTTGTGCATGTTTTTACATGCGAGCTTGGTGCATGTTTGGTTATGTGTATTCACTATTCATGTCCTAGTATTATAGTTCGTGTTTTCATTAGCGTATTTGCACATGCAGTTTTGCGCGAGTACTGTTGTGTACGTACCTGTTTGTGCATGTTTTTATGTGCGAGAGTCTTAGTGCATGTTTGTTGATGTGTATTCATGTCGGAATATTCTGGTTCGTATTTTCATTATCGTTTTTTGCATATGCACTTTAATATGAGTACTTTGAAAAATGCGTTCCAAATTCCACCCCTACGTGAAGTTAAACCTCGCCTAAAAGACACCGTAAAATAATGGAATTAGCAAGAGTTAATCAATAGCTACCTCAAATCCCCACACATTAAAAACATACAAAAATCAAACAACTCAAGCACATTATAATTTCCAACAACCATATCTTTTTGCATTCAACTAACATATTCCACATTACAAGTTCTATATTTTCATCTTCCAACTGTACAATCAACCCACAAAGAGAATCACTTAAAAAAAAAAAAAAAAAACCCGAAAAAACGAGATCAATAAGCTGCCGGATATCCACTCTTTCTCGGGTCACTAATAGCAACAAGCAGACCACTCTTATTACCCTTCAACCTTTGAATCACAAATTGGCAAGTAGTCATAGCAGTTACTGCACTCACCGTATGGCCCTTTCTCGACAGTTCCGATATTGTCGCCGAGGGATATATGTACTCGTCACCACTAAAGGATGTGTATTTCTCATACAGAAGTTTATTTGGATATAGCTGCATTATAAAATAATCTTATGAAAATAGCAGAATTTTTTCGTATTGAAATCAAGAACTTATTGTGGTCACGTGGATTCCATATTCGTACTGAAATTTCGTTCCGGTTTTCTTTTTTCTTTTTTTTTTTTTCTGAATTTCTTTTATTGGAATTGGAATTATGTACGAAATTTCTGATTGTCGATCCGGTTTTAATTCAAAAATAATTACAATTATTTTTCCCAAAAACATATATTATAGGGTAAACTACAATCAATCACCCCTGATGTATGATCAAATTATGAAAACTCCCCTCTTGTTTGTGTAATTACAACCACCCCTCAACTATAAATCTTATTACATGTCCACCATTGCGGTTTCAAATTTAATGGAATCTTCTACATTATATGTAATATTATCAATATCGGACCCGTTTTATCCCATTCAAACTCCACATTTTGAAGTTAGATGATCATAAGATGTGTTTTTTGGCTTGTATATATCAGATTGTGGTACATCAGAAACTGCATTTTTGCACAAAACGAGTACAAACTAGAGAACAATCGACGGAATCTAGATGCTTATGTTGAATTGGATACCATAAAGGTGGAGATGTACAAGATTCATAGTTGATAGGTAGATGTAATCATCCAAACAGGAGGGGTTTATTCGTAATTTGACCATACCGTACGGGTGATTGCAATTTACCCTATATAATATTAATCAAATTTCGCCGATTCTGATCAAAAAAATTCTGACTTTGGAATTTTTTTTTTCCATTTCGATTTTCCAAAACCGTTAGCAACAGAATCGGGATTAGTGTTTTTTTTTTTCGTTGGACGAAAAAAATATAAAACCTTGTAAATATTTTTTTTTTACCTTGTGATAAAACCTTGGAGCCTTGACAGAATCATAACTTAGCTTCTTTCGGATGATGAAATTAATTAAGACCTGACTGACAGCATCAGGTATTAGAATACCTCCAGCAGAACCTATGACAGCTCTTACCCTTCCCTCCTGGAAAATATATTTACGAAAAAAATCATTCGATACACGAGAAAATTCAAATAAAACAAATTTGATGCCAAAGGGATCATTCATAAAAAGTTGAAACGAAAAGAACCGTAACACTGCAACAAAAAATTCTGACCTTCTCGAGAATGATAGGAGCCATAGATGACAAAGGCCTTTTGTATGCACTAACATAATTTGCCGGTGCTCCCGGTGCACCTTTTGATGTCGGAACTGAAAAATCGTACATCTGATTGTTGAGGAATATTCCCGTACTCGGTGACATAATCCTCGACCCCCATTTAGTGTTTATACTTGTCGTCATTGTTATGACATTTCGGTCTCGATCAACGATGCATAAATGACTCGTGCCGTGATCATTTAGCTGAGCCCATCTGCAGTGTGTCAACACCAGAAACAATGGAGTTTAAACTGTTAGTGAAATATATCATTTAATATTAATATCTTCAATACGCCCCTCAAGTGAAAACGAATTACATTTGAAGTCTTGCACTTGAAATATTTGAAATGGGTGGCGCTGTGATTCAAACTCAGGACCTTTTATTTGACCTGACATGATACCACGTTGAATGACCACCTCAACCAAGAGCTGAAGCTATTAGTGAAATGTATCATTTAGTATTAATATCTCTAATAAGTTTAAGGGTAAATTAAAATCACCTCTGATGTATGATCAAATAATAAAAAAAACTCTCATGTTTGGGTAATTACAACTACCCAACAACTATAAATCTTCCTACTCGTTCACATCCCGTATCAAATTTAGTGGAATCTTCTAGATTATATGGAATATTATCAATTTTGTACCCATTTTATCCTATTCGACCTCCACATTTTGAAGCAAGATGATCATAAGATGTGTTTTTGGATTGTATATATCAGATTGTGGTGCATTAGAAACTGCATTTTTGCACAAAACGAGTACAAACTAGAGAACATTCCACAACATCTAGAAGATTATGTTGAATTTAACACCATGAGGATAAACGTGTAAGAAGATTCGTAATTGAGGATAGTTGTCAGGGCCGTACCCATGCATATGGCTGGGGTGGCCCCCGCCCCCCCAAGAAAAAAAAAATTTAAGCAATTTTTTTTTGGTTATTTATGTATTAGTTAATAGACTTTCGCCCCCCAAACTTTTATTTATGTACACTTTAGTCCGTAAAAAAATCTTCTCTTAAACTACCCGATATTTCAGCCCCCAAGAAAACCCCCTTGGGTCCGCCCCTGATAGTTTTAATTATCGAAATATGGGGATTTTTCGTTTATTGACCATACCTCAGGAGTGATTGTAATTTATCCTAAAAAAACAAGAGTAATTTTCTCCAATGTACATGTAGATGTAATGAAATAGAGAAACTAAGACTACTTTATCTTCAAGTATCCATTAACATAAGAAGATCAATGAAATCATTGCTTACTTGCTGCGGTAATGAGGAGGATCAAATGTTCTGTTATCATTTATGAGGTTCTTCACTCTTTCCGCGGTGTTGTCTGAAATCATAGAATTCAAGGCACTAGAAATATTAACAAATCCAGGATCTCCTAATCGCATCCTCAACGCAAGCGCGTATTTGAGCGCTTCAATGGTCCGGTGCACCAAAAGTGATGCGGTAACACCCTTGTTATTGTACTTGGAAAGAGTCTTGAGAATCTGTTCACATCATTAAATAAAGGGTAAATTACACCAACACCCCTGAGGTTAGTTAAAATAACTTTAAGGTTCTTGTGGTATCGGAAATTACAATCACCACCTGAAACATTGTTAGAAACTCAAATAGGATAGTGCATTGGATACGTTATTTCGATAAAGTTCTAACGGACCATTAATTTCAGGAATAACATATTTAATGCATTATCCCGTTAGAGTTTTAACGATGTTTCAGGAGTGATACCATAGGGACATTAAAGTTACTTTAGCATACCTGAGGGATGTAGGCGTAATTACCCTTAAATAAACACGACACCCCATTTTTTTTTCCGAAAATCATCTCAAATACCAAATTCGACATTGAGTAAAAAAATGAACTTACAGAAATCACCACTGCGCCGCCTGATGCAGGAGGCGGCACAGTGAGTATCCGATGTCCTAATACTCTAGTAACCAAAGGCTCTCTCACGATAACTCGATATCTCTGAAAGTCTTCCTTTGTTATTATTCCCTTTTTCTGTTGGATGTATGTTGCCAAGCTGTCGGCTATTGATCCGTTATAAAAGTCTTTCATGCCGTGTTTCGCTATTGCCGCCAACGTGTCCGCTAGCTTTCTGAGGCGGAGGGTTTGGCCTTCGGCGAGTATCTCTCCGTAAGGAGCAAATACGCTTCGAAGATCCTCGTCAGACATAATGGTTGACTCTGCATTGACCATTTTGTTAAAGAGAGATTGCGAAACTTTGAAACCTCGACGGGCTAGATTCTCGGCTGGCTTTACAACCAACTCCCATGGAAGCTTGCCGTATTTTTGGTGGATTGTGTATAGACCTGCCAGCTGTCCCGGAACACCTATGGCCAGAGGACTGTGTTTCCGCTCAGCTCGAGTCATTTTCGAGAACATATCCTAGAAAACGAAAAAGATACATGAATGAAGAAAACAGTGAAATGCTAATATTAAAAGTATAGGGATATATTTATAAATATGCTATATAAACATATTCAAGTTTTTATTTAAGGCAAATTGCACATCATCCCCTAAAAATTTCTAATTTTTGTACTTTATCTCCACAAAATTCTAAAAAGTGAATGTCTCCCTTCAAAAATTTATTCTTGTTGCACATTGCTCCCATGTCAAAATTTCGATGGACTATTCGTCGTAATTGAGTATTTTTGTTGCACGTAGCCGGGAAAATTACAGTTTATGTCCCTAAACTTTACCACTAAAACGATTTATGTCCTCAAACATTTCAATCCAAGAAATATGTCCTCAAACTTGCCACTTTTGATCACTTTATGTTCTGCCGTTAACGTCGGCAGCTAACTTCGACAGAAATAGCACGCGTGGCTGACGTGACGTCTATGTGGCCGTTAAATGTGACGTGGAATAATATCTTGAATATTAAATATTGACGTGGCACAAGAATATACTAACTTCCTCTAACTCACTCTCCCAAATCCCAAATCCCAAATCACGTTTCGTTCCCATACACCCTAATTTTCCCACACTTTGAAGAGTTTTTTCCTTCTCAAAGAACATCAGATTCACGTGCAAACACATGCTTGCAATCGAGAGGAAGAAGGTAAACGCGACTCCTCTTCTGGTTTCGAAAAAAATTTTAGAGGAAGCTTTAATTCTTCTCCCAACTCCGTCTCTAGAACGTTGGGGTCGTGTGATTCTTCGCCTGCTGATGCTTGTGCCCCTTGTGGTCTCAATAAAGCGAGCACAAGGATGGTGAAGATGGCACAAATCCTACCCAACTCAGATTCAGAACCTGCCCAGAAGGTGTTCGACAAAATGTCTGAACCAATTCCGGAAAAAAAAAACATGCAACACCTGTCAAAGCTGCATATAATTCTTTTTTTGCCAAGAATAGAGTGCCCAAGAACGGATTCCAACTCCCCGACTTCCCCAACGAAGTGGAATAAGACATGATATTTCAGCCCGAAGATGAAAGTGAAATCGAGGAAACATTCGGCATTTGTTTATTGGGCTATTTTGCTGGTAAAACACCACGAAAAATTGCCATGGATTCGCAGACGATTCTGTTATTTTCGAATTTCACCTCAATTGAAGGATTCGAAATGGGGTTTTAGGGATTGGATTTACGGGTTCATTGGGGATATGGAGAATTAGGGATTTTAGAATAGAAATAGGGGAGGAGAATGACGTGTCGCTCCACATCACGTTTCGTCGACCAAGTAGGCACTGGGCGTTGTACAGCTCGACATTTAACGGCCACATAGACGGCACGTGAGCCACGCGTGCTATTTCCGTCGAAGTTAGCTGCCGGCATTAACGGCAGAACATAAAGTGATCAAAAGTTGCAAATTTGAGGACATATTTTGTGGATTGAAATGTTTGAGGACATGAATCGTTTTAGTGGTAAAGTTTAGGGACATAAACTGCAATTTTCCCCACGTAGCCCCTTTATATGTTATTTTTGTTGCACGTTACCCCTTTAAAACATTATCGTTTTGCACATTGCCCCTTTAAAATGTTATTTTTGTTGCACAATGCCCACCAAAAATTGGCTTATGGGGCAGAGTGCAACCAAAATAATATTTTGAAGGGGGGTTATCTAGTTTTTTAATTTGTAGGGGGGAAAAGGCGAAAATAAGAAATTTGTAGGGGGTGAAGTGCATTTTATCCTTTTATTTATGTCTAAATTCTTTTTATATATTTCCATACAAATATATTCAAAATAAATAATATTATCAACTATTATTTGCGACTAATTATTAAATTATGTAAATAATTAGGGAAGTAACATAAATATTTGAAAATTTGTTATCCAAACATGTTTCCAACTTTTCAGAAACTGCAAAATGGCTCATAAGGTGTCCTACATGTGTCGGCCACGACACGTGTCCGAAACACAGATACGTTAAAAACTTGAAGTTTCCATGCTACATAGTTTTGCACGAAAATGAGCGATATATCTTAAACCACAAACGGAAAGAATCTCAATTTGATCGATTAATTATGATACTATATATCAGAGAGAATATATCGAGTAATGAAACGAACCTTAGATGCTCGGCCAGGTGCAATTTCTCTCATGTCAAACACTTTAGCTTCTCCGTTAGCCAGCCGGACAAGTATAAATCCACCGCCACCGAGACCGCTGTCGATTGGACTCACAACACCGACACAGAGTGTAGCCGCCACTGCAGCATCAGCGGCATGCCCTCCTTTTTTAAGTACATCCCTCCCGATTATAGAGCACTCCGTTTGATCGGTGGCTACGACACCGTTTTTTCCTGAAACCATCGGACGTATTTTTTCGGCATCAGCACTTTTGAGGACAAAAGCCAAACACGAAAGTAGTAACACGAGAACCGCGATACGATGTCGACCTCCCGATGTTGGACAAACTATAAACCAAAAGGAAATAACAAGTTCAGTAATACGAAAAGCTATCGAGAATTAGCGTAAGAAGCGAATGTGCTTACCACGTCTCGACATTGTGCGAAGAAATGAAAGAGCGCTAAGAAATGTGAAATTCGATCGTTGTATAAAAAAAAATGACACCTTTTTACCAAAGTGAGTGAAACTTGGCAGAGCAGATTAAGACATTATTTACTTCTAAATTATCCTAATCTTCTAGTTTCTTTCGGCATGAAGGCAATGACATTTATTAGAACCTATCAACCATTTTCAATTGTAAAGTGATATACTTGTGGATTTTTTCACTATTTAATGATATATCTTTTGAATTTATCTCAATCAACTTTTTCAAAATTCTAATTTAATAAAAATCTATTTTTTTCCGTCAAACTTAACCGTCTGTGTCAAAATTCAAAGTATTTTTCCTTTGAATTTACAGATGACTCTTTTGAAGTTTGACACAGACGATTAAGTTTGACGGAAAAACTAACGGAAATTAGCCCCTAAACCACAAGGAGTTATGTGCTGATATTACGAGCATAAGTGGATCATCTGCAAAAACTTGTAACCACATGGAATTATGTACTGATATTACGAGTACAAGGGATCATCTGTAAAAGCTTGTAACGACATCTACCCTCATTTGGCATTAACATGAAGAAACAATAAATTGCAAATTTAAATAATTTACAATTTCAGTTCAAGATACTCACCAGCTGCAAACTTCCTCTAATTTGACGGGTAAAGAGTATAAAACCCTTTTGTGGTAAGGAAAACATGCGCCAAATTCCCCTGTATTATTTTCTTGCGTAACACCCCATGTGTTTCATTTTTTCTTACATAAAATCCTCTTCCATTAATAGTTAACACCGTAAACTATATAGAAGAGATTTTATTCAAGTTTTTTTTAACATAAGGGGATTCGGTGCATGGTTTTGCAACACAAGGAGGTTTAAGCAAAATTAATTTATTCATTTAAAATTCAAGTTATTTTCTTATATTAATTCGAATACATCTATTAAATTTTAAATATGAAAACTAAAATAATAATATTCGAGATGGAAGTTGGAACGACTTCTCAAATTATTTATGTCATTTTCACATAAAATTAATTCATAATAAATTATAAAAATATATAATAATTCTAATAAAATAATTACATATTTTAAATAATCAAATTTTTAATGCATTGATAAATTATATCATATAAAAATTAATTTTTTTTTTTAAAAACATTCACCACACCTATTAAATTTCTATTTTTCATTGTAACTGAATAAAAGTGTTCGACTTAATTTAAGAAAATGATATAAAATTTAAACGAATAAATTAATTTTGCATTAAATCCTCTTGTATTGTAGAAAATATGCACTAAATCCCCCTTTGTTATGAATTTTTTTTGCATAAAATCCTCTCTATAGTTAGTAACTTTTAACGGAAAAGGGAATTTCGTGCAAAGTAAAATGAGACACAAGGGAATTTTACGCAAGAAAAAAAACACAGGGTAATTTGGCGCATATTTTCTTTAACACGGGGGGTTTTATGTTGTTTACCCTGAAATATCATGAATAATAAACTAACCGATTCAATCAATCTTATCAATCCCACCAACATTGCAAAACGAACCCTAAGCCTCACATACAAGTCATAGTAAATCGGAATTAGGAAGAGTTAATCAGTAGCTAAGCTCAAATCTGAAATCCCCACACGAAAAACAAAAAAAAAAAAATACAAACAATGCGCATATTATAACTTCCAAACAACAATGAGTTTGCATCATCGAAACACAATTACAAGCTCTAATAAACCCACAAGAGAAGCGCGAAAAAAAAGAGAATAGAAAATAGAATGAGATCAATAAGCTGCTGGAAATCCACCTTTTCTCGGGTCACTAATAGCAATAAGCTCACTACTCTTCAATTTTTGAACCACGAATTGGCATGTCGTCAAACCAAATGCACGGTCCGCCTTATGACCCTTTTTCTCCAGTTCCGTCCATGTCGTGGACGAATATTGGAACGTCTCACCACGATTTTTGGATGTGTAGTTCTCAAATCGAATCTCATTTGGATATAACTGCATGTAATAGTCGCTTGATTAGTACCGGAAATATTTTATATTAAATGATAAATTTCACTAAAAACTTAAACTTTTGGTTGAGATGATCATTTAACATGGTATCAGAGCCAGATCAAGTGAAAAAATGTTCTGAGTTCGAATTTTACAGCCACCCATTTCAAATATTTCAAATCTGATCCGACCTGTCTAATTTCCATCCTTAATCATGAAAAAAGGACAAAAAAAAGGGGCAGTTAGAAATCGACTTGGAGTCTTACCTTGTGATAAAACCTTGGAGCCTTGACAGCATCATAAGTATTCATTTTTAAGATGAAGAAATTAATTAAGACCTGAGTCACTGCATCAGGTATCAGCAGACCTCCAGCAGAACCTATGACAACCCTTAACCTTCCATCCTGGAAAAGAATAATATTAATGTGGTTGACAGTAATATTATTGTGTTTACAGTACATGGCATTAAAGATATGAAAAGAAGCATAAGGCAGTAAAATTCGTACCTTCTCGAGAATAATAGGGGCCATTGACGACAAAGGCCTTTTAAATGGACTGACATAATTTGCCGGTGCTCCTGGCCTAACTTGTGACGTTGGAATGGAAAAATCGTACATCTGATTGTTGAGGAATATCCCGGTACTTGGTGACATAATGAGCGACCCAAATCTAGTGTTTATACTCGTCGTCATCGTGACGACATTCCGGTGTTGGTCAACGATGCATATATGACTTGTGCCGTGATCGTCTAGCTGAGCCCATCTGCAGTCGGAAACAATGGGAATTTAATGATGGATAAAACAGAGTAGTTTTGCCCCAACGTACGTGCAGTTGTAATGAAAATAGAGCAAGTGAGCAATAGAAACCATTGCTTACTTGCTGCCGTAATGCGGAGGATCAAATGTTCTGTTATCATTTATGAGGGTCTTCAGTTTTTCCGCGACCCTGGTTGAAATCATTTTTTTCAAGGTAGTTGTAACATTAACAAATCCAGGATCTCCTAGATCCATCCTCATCGCAAGCGCGTATTTTAGTGCCTCGACGGTCCGGTGCACCAACAGTGGGACAGGAACCCTCGTGTTATTGTACATGGAAAGAGTCTTGAGAATCTGTCACGTCATTATATAAATAACGCCCAATTTAACAAATAATTTCAAAAAAAAAAAAGAGTAAATAACACTTAATCCTCTGAGGTTACAAGCTTTTGCAGATGAATCTTCTGTGCTCGTAATGTCAGCACATAACCCCCTTGTGGTTTATGGTTTAGCTTCCGTTAGTTTTTCCGTTAAACTTAACCGTGTGTGTCAAACTTCAAGGGAGTCATCTGCAAAAAATGAAAGAGAAAATGAAAGCACAAGGGGGTCATCTGCAAAAAAATTACTTTGACGTTTGACACCGGCGGTTAAGTTTGATGAAAAAACTAACGAAAGCTACCCGCATCAACCATGTGCTGATATGAAAAGCATAAGAAGGTCATCTGCAAAAACTTGTAACCACAAGGGGGTTAAGTGCTATTTAACAAAAAAAAAAATTATTCATGATTTAGAGGTTGTTTATAAATTAACTTACAAGAATCACCATTGCACCTCCCGATGCAGGAGGCGGTACCGTAAGCAATTTATGTCCTCCTAGTACGTGAGCAACCAAAGGCTTTCTCGTAACAACTCGATATTTTTGGAAGTCTTCCTTGGTGATTATCCCGCCTCTAGATTGGATTTCTTCTGCCAGCTTTGTTGCTATCGATCCATTATAAAACATTTTCATGCCGTGTTTGGCTATTTTCACCAGCGTGTCCGCTAGCTTTTTACGACGAAGGACGTCGTCTTCGACGAGCATCTGTCCATTGGGAGCAAATGTGCTTCGAAGATCGTCGTCGGCCATAATGGCTGACTCTTCACTCACCATTTTGTTAAAGAGAGATTGCGAAACTCTGAAACCTTGACGAGCTAGTTTCTCGGCTGGCCTTACAATCGACTCCCACGGAAGCTTTCCGTATTTTTGGTGGATTGTGTATAGACCTGCCAGCTGTCCGGGAACGGCTATGGACGGAGCACCGTGTTTCCACTCGGCTTCAGACTTATTAGTGAACATATCCTAGAAAAGGATGGGTTACGGTTAGATCCACGTCGATAAAAGTAAAACTAATAACTACTAAATTTCAGTTAAAAAAAAAAAAAAAAGAACATATCATAATATCCGATAAAACTTATAACAATAATTCAATATGTCAAAATGATAAAACAAAACTTAAAATAAATTACTGTTTAAAAAAACAAAAAAACTTAAAATAAGTATTATATAATATATATTATTTATAGGTGATTTTTTGGAAAAAAAATTGGAATATTTCGGAATTAATTTTGAAAATTAAATCGGATCGAAAATCAGAAATTTTATTTTTTTAATATAATTCCAATTGCCATAAAAAAAATTGAAAAATTCGAAAATCGAATTTTCGGAAGCCGGAATGAAAAAAGTTGTTCCAAAATCAGAACCGGTGGAAATTGGAATTTTTGTTCGAACTTGCCCCCTAATGATGAGAACCAAGCATCGGAGCTCTTTCAGTTTAGGGCAAATTACAGTGTCAAATTTATCTAGGGGTGTTCATCCAGTTTATAAACCGACCGAATTGAACTGAAAGAAGATTCAGTACATGCCCATTACCGAACCGATAATTCCCTGAGATATACCGTTTTTTATTATTTTATATATGTAATATTAGTATTTAAACTAAAATTAATTATAAAAAATTAATAAAGAAAATCAATTTCTTAAATATTTTTAATAAAATTTCGGTAATTCGGTTATTTATTGAACCGAACGCTAAACCGTATGGAATTTTCGCGTACCAAAATTTCGGTACAATTTTTATCAAATGAACGCCCCTAAATTTACCAACTGGAGGGATTTTTTTCCGTAAGATAATACATAGTTGATGGGGTGACTGTAATTGTAACGCACATACAGTGTCTTAATTTAAACCACATATGGAAGAATCTCAATTCCTCTACAGAAAATTAAATAATTGATTCATGAGGCTCTGATCAGTTATAGTACCACAATTAAACCTCTATAAATTAATACTGATGGGACTATCAAAATTCTATTAATTTATCAAAATTTTAAATTATCGAACTATTAACTTAATAAATTTTCTCCGAGTCGGAACCTGAAGAAAATATTATTTAAGCAAAGCTAATAATTTGTCGAGTATTAATTTATCGAGGTTATTCTGTATAATCAGAAAAATGTAAAGCATGGATGAAAGAAAAAATAAATCGAGTAATAAAAGGAACCTTTGACGCTAGGGCCGGTGCCATTTCTCTCATATCAAACACTTCCGCCTCTCCATTAGCTGTCCGGACGAGTATAAATCCCCCTCCGCCGAGACCACTATCCGCTGGGCTTACAACACCAATGCATAGTGTAGCAGCCACTGCAGCATCGACAGCATGCCCTCCTCGTTTAAGTACGTCTCTTCCAATTTTAGAGCATTCCGTATCATCAGTCGCTACAACACCGTGTCTCCCTTCAGCTCTCGTCTTTCTGGCAGCATCGGCACTTTTGAGGACAAAAGCCGAAGACGAAAGTAGTAACAAGAGAACCGCAAGACCGTGCCCTGTTCATTAATATTTAATATTTTGAGATCAAAAACTTATCATTGTCATTAAAAAATCACGATAGTCTTGTTGTTACTTTCGTGTCATCGTAAATGGGATTTCAAAGATCGTGAACCGGATGTGCTTACCACGTTCGGACATTGTGAGAAGAAATGAAGCTGCGATAAGTAGTGTCGACTTCGATCGACCATTGTATAAAAAATGAACCTCTTTACCTCAATTGATTGAAAATTGGCAGAGCAGATTACAACATTATTTACTTCTACATCATCTTATGCTACCTTTGGCTTTCCACATGAAGAAAATGGCATTTATTAGAACATATCAACTATTTACTAGTTGAATTGTAAAGTAATACATGTTGATGATTCACTATTTATTGATCTATCTTTTGCATTAATCTCAATCAACTTCTTCAATCAAGGAGATGATGTGCATAATCAAAACAAATCTCCAAAAGTAACAAAAAAAAAATCAAGCTTACATAATTTAAAATCGTCGAAAAAGAAGAATACGTCAGAAATTGACGAGACTATCGTCGCTCCGGGCACTTGAACCCCACAAACGTCTCTCATTTCCGGAGTAAACTGCAAAAAGTACCCCGGTGTAATTTCAAACTAGCAGAAAATCCGCCGTGATAAATAAACTAGCAAAAATACCCATGTACAATTTTTTAAATAGTAGAATCGACCCATTGTGATTTCAGTAGTTGATCTGAGTGTAAAATGACAAATATACTCTTCAATAAAAAAATATATATGTAAATTAGAATAGCATAAAATATAGGCCAAATTGAATATAAAAAAACAAATTTAGAGGTTAAATTACAATTTATGCTAAATTTTTGAAACTTAATTTAAGGACTTGTTTGCAATTGCCCCAACCCACCACACCACCACCAGCAACCACCGCCAACGGCCAGCAACAACAACTCCACCACCATGAGTCATGACTCCACCTCCGCCAACAGTTGCACCCAAAACTCCGTAACTATCGAGCCAACTATCACTAGAAACTGCATTTTTGCACAAAACGAGTGCAAACTAGACATCATTTCACGGGATATAGAAGATGTTGCTGAATTTAACACCATAAGGTAAATGTGTAAGAAGATTCATAGTTGATAGTTGATAGTTGATTGTAATTAGCCAAACATAAAATAGTTTTCGTAGTTTGATCTTACCTCAAGGACGACAACGACCGTACCCTAAAAAACAGTAATATTTTTTTAAAAAAAGAGGTCAATTTTAAAATTTATATTAATTCTTGTAAATTTATATTATTTTACAAATTCAACGAGTTATTTTCAAATTGCATCAGAATCAAAAATATTATTTAATTAATCAATCTAATATTAATTTCAAATATTTCCCTCTAAAAATTAACACTAAAAAGACGAAAAACCCCCCAAAAAAAAAAAAAAACCACATTAGAAATCATCATCCGAATCACTAGAACTTGCTGCACGCCGTTGTGCCCTAAAATACATCTCCAGGTTCTGAAATCTCACCGGAGACCTCGGCGCCGGCGACAATGGCGGCGACGTCGACGACGAAGCCACTTTCATCCCACCTAATTTCCTCGTAATCTCCGAACAAACCTGATCAACGCTGTTCAGGAAATCCTTAACAATAACGAACAGCTGAAGAGGATTCCCCCCTTTCTCCTTCGAAACCCCCGCCTGATAATACGCCGTCGTCTTCGCCACAATCTCCATCACCCTTCTCTCTTCTTCTCTCACTACCTCAATCTCCAATCGACTATCCTCCAAAAACCCCTTCATCTCTCTCAGAAACAACCCGCCGGATTCGAATTTCAGCCTCTGTTCAATCTCGTCAATTCTCGCAGCGAGAGCGGCGGAAACGCCGATCACGCCGTCGAAGTCGATCGCCGCCGCTTTTTTCACGCCGGCGAATTCGATGCTCATCGATTCCAGAACCGGCAGCCCCAGCATCAGGTGCTCTCGATCTCTCTCCTCTTCGGAATTTTTAGGGTTTCTGTTCGCATAGCGGCGTTTGCCCTCCGATCTGATTACTTGCTCGACTACGAAATGGAGCAGAGTTGTTTTCCCGTCCGTGCTTTTCACGTCGGATAATCGTCGGAGAGCGGTGAGGTTGAACCCCCGAGCGTTCCCTCTGTTCGTGCCGGCGTTCATTCTGTTGCCTGCTTTAAGAATGGCTTCGAGGAGTTTGAGAAAGATCCCACCTTTTCTCAACTCCTTACATCCCAATTCAAGTATTTGCAGAGACTCTTTCAGATGCAGTATCTCCGGATCGTAGGTTAATCGAAAGAGCATAGCGTCGAAACGGATAAAAGCCGAAGGGACTGCTTTGAGGATGTGGTATAAGAAAGACTCCGCATCGGCAAGTTTCGTTGGATTTCCGTTGAAATCGAGGATTTTGGCGGTTTCCTCTTGTGTTGGGCTGATGTTAGACAGTTTTTCGAGTGTGTCTGAGTTTAATCCTCGTCCGTCTGTTAAGGCGTCGAGGATTTCTTTGCGGGAAATTGCTAGTGATTTTAGGACAATTGCTGTGTTTTGCGATTTTCTTGGATCGAGAAGGAATGTTTGTGGCGATGGAAGTGAGTTGGAACTTCTCTGATGTGATAGTTTGTTGTTGTCGGTCGATTTACGGTTAGTGGTGGTGTAGCCGAAGAGGGTTTCAATTAGTTCGTCATCAAACCTGATAGAATCACACAAAATCAGATAAATTTTGACCAATTTGACTTGTAGTATTTTCAAATTTTGATCGAGTTTCAAAAATTGAGTTTGAACTTGATTCTGTGAGTAGTCGATAGCTTGAAATTTTTATACCTTTTTTACTCGAGTTGAGTTCTGGTTGATCTTTATATTATCAACTAAATCAAGTACAAACGAGATTTTATTGGTTGATGATGTCGAATTGAGTATTGAGCAAACTTGATTGAATGTTTCAACTTACCTAAAAGAGCCATCGGTGATCTCGTTCCAGACCATCGAATGGTCTGCATTAGCCGTAACTTTATCCCAGTGTAATGGCTTCAATTTCATTTGCTCTCCGTTTTCGTTAATCTTTTCCTTAGCAGGATCTTCTGTTCTGCTGCTGTACCTGTTTTCTGTTATGGACAAACACGAATTAAAAAACACGATAGAGGTACAAAGTGGAAAACTTCAGATTCAAGAATTTAAGCACCTCTCGGGTGAACAGGTGGTTTATGCGATGGAATCAACCCCCTTGTCTTCGCCGGAAGAGGTGGCGGTGCCGGTTTTAGTTTCGGTGGACTTGGCGGTGGTGGTGCTGGCTTGATATTTCCCTTTTGAGGAAGCGTAGGTATAGGTGGTGGGGGCGGTGGCGGTGGTGGTGGTGGCGGTGGTGGAGTTTGATTGACCGGAGAAATCTCCGGCTGATGCAGAGGAGTAGGTGGTGGTGAAGGAGGGACTCTCCTCAGCCCAAGTGGTGGCGGAGCCGCCAATTCCGGTCTAGGCAAACTTTTCTTCACCGCATATTCATCGTTACATAAAACATTTCTCTGCTCTAAAAGCAATGGAATTTCTTGTATAGGCTCGGAAATCCTGCTCTTTTCACCACCATTATCGACTCTCTTCACCTCTTCATCGTCATAATCATCGTCCATATTATTATTATACCAAACCTTGGAAAAACATCTCGAGATATTCCGATTCTCGACTCTTCTCAAATACACCACATCCAATCCCTGTTCGTCCACTATAATCCCTCTTATCGCTCCTCCGCCGTTTTGTCTGAACTCCAACCGGTGGTGCACCGCCGCCTCCGCCGCTTCCTCCCGCCGAAAACTCGAGGCGAGATTCGCTCTCTTGAGCCGACGGGCGGCAATGAACCTGTATAGGATATAGAAAACTATTGCAGCTATAATTAAGCTGATTGTGGCTGTGATTGCAATTGCCTGAACTATTACTGCCTTGTTTTTCGTAGCCATATGATGAAGTAATAATAATTGTAACTGTGAAGAAACTATTTGCTAGCATGGATATTTTATTGTCTGAAAAACAAAATAAAAAAAGAAAGTTGAGAACTTTGTTTTCTTGTTGTTGAATTGGTGCAAACAAAGTATTGGAAGCTGGCTTTAGCTCTGCTGACAGTTTCAAAGAAGTAGATGATGATGGTAGTTGGCTTTTGGGGCACCTGTGAAATGACATTAATGCCCTTGCTTGTGGGGGGTTGTGATCAAGATTCATGAGGGGGTTTTCCGTAATTTTCATTATTTTGTAAAAAAAAAATGTGGATTATTTAGTTATTATGGTCAGATGGTTGGTTTGGATGGTTAACTGTGTATTTTATTACAATTGATTGTAAGGATGACATATGTTTTTTATTTTGTAATATACAACAAAGACTTTATGGTTTGCAGTCCTTTTGTATCACATTGTCTTCGACAGTGAGAAAACCCCTCACCAATTTTTATTTTTTTTTATTTATTTATTTTTGGCAAAGTATTGATGAAACTTAGGAGCATCCAAAAATGTTTTACACCCTTAATTATTATTTTTAATAATAGTATTTGATTTGTTTGTTGAGTAATGTATTTTCCTAATTGTGTACTTCTCAAATTGTGTCACGTATGACTGAATATTAAACCAAACTACTCGATTTGATATCGTTCGTTACAAGTTCGTTTGATTTCGGTTTGGTAATGCAATAAACCGAACTTGAACGTCTATCTTCATTCGATAAGCTATGGAATTCAGCTCAAATTCAAGCTTGATTAGGAAAAAAATATGATAAAATATGTACAAAAAATCAAACTACTAAAGTTCGTCACAGTTGCTTATCAAATCAAAGCTCAAACAAGATTGTAAAAAGCTCGATAAAATTCAAGCAAATTTAAACAACTATGTATTCCGCTCGACTCGATTCTTTTACGCCTTGGTAGCACACATTACTAATAATAAGTAGGTAACTTACTACAATTCCTTCATTGCAATGTTATTTATTGAATCCATTATGTAAGAAATAAGTGGGGCAAGCTTTTCAATGTTATGTCAAGTATCACATTAAATTTCATTAATTTATATTGCTTTACAAAATTATAAATGCTATTAATTTTGTTTTGATGAATTTATCTTATATCAATTTCTTATTTAATGACTTCTTATAGGACCTCCAAACAGGGCTTTAAATTATTATGATAATTTTCCAGAAACAGATGGGAGCAGCTGCTTGAACCAGTCAATTTTTATTTTTTTATTTCATTTTCCGTTGTTATTATAATTGAATTTTCAGGGTGATTAGACTTTTTATTTGACTATTTTAAGTGTTGTGATTTGGATTTTGAATTTTTTTAGAGGTAGTTTTGGTTAATTAATAATTATTTATCTTCTTTTTGACATTTAGAATATATCATCTACGAATTAGTCTATGACATTAATATTTTATAGAATATGATAAACTTTAGTATTTTTTTATTAGATTGATTGAAGCAACATATTAATTGATCAATTGACAAATATACATTCAATCAAATTCGATTTATATTCGAACTTGAACGAGTTTTAATCGAGGTGATCACGAAATAAGCTCGAGTAATTTCATTTTTTATATATAGTTATATTTTTTTTCTTTCAAATCGATATCGCTCATAGCTTATCTAAAAAAACTATGGCAATGTTTGGGTTCGTTTCAGTTTCATTTTATTTTATCCTAGAAACGACTTTGTGTTTGTTAAGCTATTCAAAACAATTTCCACAAAATTTCAAAAGTTTCTTCTCTCTTCTCCGCATGATTTGACTGCAACATTAAACAATGTCTTTACTAAGAAACAAACAAACATTATTTTAAGGGTAAATAGCACTTAACATTCCTATGGTTACAAGCTTTTGGATATGACTCCTATGTTCTAGTAATATCAGCACATAACCCCTTTGTGGTTTACGGGGTAGCTTCTATTAGTTTTTTCCGTCAAACTTAACCACGTGTGTCAAACTTCAAGGGGTTCATCTACAAAAATGAAAGCACAAGAGGGTCATCAGCGAAAAAAATTGCTATGACATTTGCAGTTAAGTTTGACGAAAAAACTAACAGAAACTACTCGCATCAACCACGAGAGGGTTATGTGCTGATATTAAAAATATAAGGGGGTCATTTGCAAAAGCTTGTAACCAAATGGGGATTAAGTGCTATTCATCCTTACTTTTAATTTTCAAAATATGTTTCTAAAATACATTTTTCTAACACTTTTAAACATTGTTTGACTACTGCAAAATATATTTAATTTCCTCTCACGTTGTAAACAACGCTACTTTAATTCTCAAACTATTACCTCAAAACATATTTCCCAAAAACAAAATCAAAATAACTCCCAAAACCATTACCAAAACCTTATTTTCATTTTTCATTTGGCTTAATAATAATACTTTAAAAAAAATAGAAATACATCTCTTCTATGCGAAACTAAATGCCTAATTGTAGTTGAATGATAAATTTTTGAAGCTTTTCATTAATCGTGGATGGACCATTTTTGGATTTTACTATATAAAAAGAAAAGGGCTTTGATGCAGTCACACTATTGATGCTTAAGTTTGTCTATGGGAAGATTTGTGCCCACACTTATATTCTCTTTGTTCATTTGTATTGAAAGGGCAATATAACTTAATGGAATTTATTTTGTTAGTTGGATTATTGGGTGTTGTTTCTTGCATTCGACTTTTGTTTGCCAGACTTTTCGACTTAGGGCTACTGTTGAAGAACGGATCTTCTAACTCACTCGCTCACTCTTTTAAATTCACTCAAAAACGTATAGATGGAAACACATATTCAAGCACACAAGCTTGCATACTCACCAAAATAGTCTCAGATCGCACAGAAGAGGAATTTTGGGGTTTAGGTTATTTTTTGTGTCTTAACTGCCTCCATTTTGATCTCCTCGTATAAATAGGACTCAAATTAATGATAGTCGGTGAAGATACCACCAGAGGGTCAAAGTCAGCCGTGCACGGCGGTATTTGACTAACGGTTAATTGAGCTTCAGAGCAGTACAGAGGAAGGAGACAAACAAGGGTGACGGAGAAGAAAAGATAGGGTTTCAAATGAGAGAGTATTTCAATAGGAGAAGGAATGGACATGATTACTTAACATAACATTGGTCCAACGGGTGAGATCAATTACATATCATTCCACTAACTTGGGCTATCATAAACACACAATTAAGTTTCTTTCACTAGTAGAAAAAATGGATTTTTAATACGATTTTTTTTTGCTACGGTAAATATCCGTAATAAAATGTACCTTTTATACAGGACAATATTGGAGTCATAGTAAATGCTAAGATTTACAGTAGCTAAAAAAGTATTTGCTACGGCCATTTACTGTAGCAAAATTTTTGTAACGTTTTATACAACAAAAGCCCTTACTACGAATTTGGTACATTTTGCTACAGGTAATAGTCATAGTAAAAAGCTATTTTTCTGCTAATATCTGGTAACGAGCAAATTTAGAGTAAATGTGTTTCACTGACCCGTAGAGTTCGCACTATTTTTGCTACTATAGAGGGGGAGTCGTGTTGGCGCACTATCTACCGGGATATCATCAATGATGTTAAACGATTTCATTAGAAGTTCTTCCAAATTTGCAAATTGGCAAATGCACAATTCAGATTATACAAAATAGAACACAACCATCTCATTCAAATTTCATATTTACACCACAAAAACAAAACATCGGTTGCCTATTTCTAATTTTCGCCTAGTCCGAAATCCCAAAAAGAAGCAATATTTGGCTTACAGCTAATTTTCTATACCACAATTTCATAAATCGAAAATCGAAACCCAAAAAAAGAACAAATAAAATCGGTTGAAGCTAATCAACGGTGGCGATCAATCTCGGGCGCTTAGGAAGACTCTGATGCGGCGACGGTTCCGAGGATTGTAGAATCAACGGACGGGATTCGTCTGATCGGTTTTTCCTCTTGCGAGTTGTTGCTAATACTTCTCCTTCGTTTTTATCTTCGTCGCCTTTCAGTACGAAATCCCTTAATCTCTCTACATCCGAGAGCTTTACCGGCTTCATTAGAAACTCTTCTGCCCCTTCCTCCAAACACCTAATACATAAAACAAAAATATAAATAAGGTTTCGATTTTCATCCAAACGAAAAAAAATTGCATTTATTTATGATCAAAACTGTCTAATATCATTCTTTAATAAATAAATAAAAAATAAAAATTAGTTCAAAGATAAGATTTTTATGCAAATCTAAATATAAAAGCTAAGATAAACTCCCACTAAACAAGAATCTTGATACATATAATACGAATACATATTTAATATAATTAAAATAAAATTGATGTAGGCTAATTAATATACCTATCGATACGAGCTAAAATGTTCTCCGACGACATAACCACCACCGGGATTTCCCTCAGCTTAGACGAGCCCTGTCGAGAAAAAGGATAAACAATATTAATTTTAGAGGTTTTAAATAATTATCAACAATTTATTGTATGATTAACTATTAAGTATATTATATTACAACATATTTAGAGAACAACAATTACCTTAATCTTTTTGAGAAGTTCATATCCTGTCATTCCAGGCATGGAATAGTCTGTCATTATCAAATTCACCTTTAATTCCTGCTAAATCAACATTTTACCATCAGATTGTATATATAATACACACACACACACACACACACACACACACACACACACACACAC